GTGGACCCCTTCATAGCTATTGGACATAAGAACAATTTTCTATTCTTCACTAATATAAATTTTAAGGTTTTAATTATCAAAGAAATAGTATACGATTAAGCTTTATTTTTAAATGAAAACTAATTTAATACAAATAAAATATTCTATTATAATTATAATAATAATTATTATTACTATTTTTAATTAACGCAACAATTGAGTTTTGCCTGTGGACCCCCGGTAATATTACATGGACCCCTAGGGTCCATGTAGACCCCGGTTGAGAACCACTGATCTAGATAGTATGATGTTAATTTTTGTTTAGCAGCATATCAAATTTTATGGCTTATTTAATAATAAATAAATACTAAATACGTAAATATTTATTATATAATTTTATATTTTCAGGTAAAAGTTGTGTCTTTTTTTAATATATAGTTTGTAGATCAGTAAGTACTTTACTGATAATATCCCTAAAAATGTTTGTTTTTTTTTTTCATAAAAAATATATTGCTCGTATTAATCTAAAAATGTATTGATTGTCATTTTACCATAAAAATGTTTTGCTGATTTTTTGTTTGGGGATCACTATTTGGCTATAGCCGACACCCTAACAAGTGCTGCCTATTGGTGGATCTGGGGCCAACAGCAATTAAGAGGTGGTTCTATGCTCCTGAAAACCTCCAGTCTTCCGATCAGAGGCCTTTCTGCCGGATGCAGTATTTATAACCAGGACGAGTCTAGAATGTAAGTACCCTATCATGTCATGTTAACGAAAAAGAAAACTATGACCGGGAAATGGTACTTTAGTCCCCTTCAATCTCGCATTTTCCACTGAGTCTCGTTGCGTTCCACTTAAACCGTAAATAATCTGAAATCGTTCAATGTCAATTTTTAATTTTTGTGAGAAGACAAATCCTAAATGGCGTACAGACATTCTAATTTCTTATTTACATTATTTACATTATTCGAACTGTTATCCTCATGTTCATTGACATATTTACAACATTTCAGCCGTTGTATGCTCCGGCCTTCTTCAGGCGACTGGAATTACAAACCGAACCCTTTTTTTCGTCTACCTAGTTCCACGTGCCATGCCTCTTCGGGATGTCTCAGTTATTTCCCTTTAACTCAAATCTCCAAGTTTTTGGTTCACCTCTTTCGAACCGAACCCTTTATTTCGTCCACTGGGGTAGATTGTTCTAGTTCCACGTACCATGTCTCTTCCGGATGTCTCAGTTATTTCACTTTAACTCAACTCTCTAATTTTTTTTTGTTCTACACTGCTGTGACCAGGTGGCACGGTGGAATAATGGAAAAGCGGCTTGTATTGAGGAATCGGAGAGCCGAGTTCGAATTCCAGTCGGATCCATTACATTCACTAATACCCTTCGGAAAGGTATGAATCCTCTTCTTCTCCCGCCAGCTATGGGTAAATAGCAGGACAGACCGAGTTCTGTAGCTTTCAAGAGCAACTATTCTACCGTAGAAAGAAATGGTAACCTACTGCGGGAAAAAAAACCTGCCTCAAAAGATACATGATCGCCTAGGCGTGTATCACGCATGGCACATAACATACTGCTTTGGCCTGGTATTGAACTCACAACTCTTTAGGTCTAGTCACTGGATCAAACCAATATCTTTATCCAGTGGGTCATTAAAGGAAAATAACTGAGAAATCCGGGAGAGGCATGGCACGTGGAACTAAAATCTCTCTCTCTCTCTCTATATATATATATATATATATATATATATATATATATGCACGCACACACACACATGCACAGGGTGCGATAGGTAAATTGTCGCCATTGTTGATTTTTAATGCACTTTGTTTTAGATATTGTCCACTGTACTGTATAGTAGGGTCAGTTGGGCACCGTCAGCGATCATCAGGACGTAATTTATTCCGCCATAAATTTGGAAACGGCATGCTGGACTGCTTGTCATTCGCGCCGGAATCTCCAATACGCACATTTCAGAGTGTTTTGGTGTCAATCTGAGTACAGTACAGAGTATTCGGAAAGAGTTGGATGATATATCCAGTCAACATTATAATGTTTGGAGTGATCACTAGTGATGGCGACGTTATGCCTCCATACACCTTCCCAAGGGGCCTCAGACTCAACATGGAGGCCTACATCAAATGACTTGAGACGGTATTGCTGTCCTGGATCAAAAGGCTCGCTGCTCGAAGATCCTCTGGCAACAGGACCCTGCACCAGGCTACACAAGCAAGAGAACCCTGTCATGGCTTTCAGAAAATTTTTCGACCATATCATCCTTTTCAACTGGCCACCTAAACCCTCTGTCTGCACTGCCCTTAATTATTATCTGTGGAGTGTAGTTGAGTGATAAACTAACAAAAATCTTTGTAATACGAAAGATAAATTGAAGGCAAGGATTATGACAGCATTCACCAATTTAAACAAGAAGACCGTCCTGGAGAGTTGCAGGAGATTCCAAAATTGTGGTTGAAGCCAATGGCGATTTTATTGAATGATTTTACAAGATATTTCAAGATATTTTTGTGTAATTTTGGTAAATATATCTGTTAGAATTCATATTTGCGTAATTTAGACGACTAGGAAAATTTGTTGAATTCTTGAGTTTAGTTTTTTCTACATTTTTCTATTTGCTGGGGGTAAAGAAGTAGACGCCTCACGTGACACGTATCTTACCAAATTGCCATAAAAAGGCACTTAGCTAACCACAATTTCTAACAACTCCTAAGGAAGATTCTGATTAGTAACACTAGCATCTTATGTAGGTCTCGTTACTGAAAACATCCTGCGGGAAAAACTGCTAAGCGTCACACATGGAGGCGTGGAGCCATGATCGCTTATATTGTTTGCGATACGCGGCATACAAATAAATATTAAAGAAAATGGACAAAGTCTGACAATTATTTTAAGACAATTTTTTATGTTTATACGTTCTGTTTATAGATACAAGTAATTAAGTAAATGCTTTGTTTATAATAAAAAGTATTAACGACGTTTACCGGCCTGAATGTCCGAGGAATTTTCATAGAAAATATGCGTCCTCCGACAGGAATCGAACCTGTATCCTATACGGAACCGACAATTATTTTAAGACATTTTTTATGTTTATACGTTTTTTTTATAAAATTGTCATTTGTAGGAGCGGCGCCCAAGAGGTCAACGGCTTTTCCGGTAGGTGCAAGAACTTCTGAAAGGAGGGAAGGGATAACCTTAACATCCCCGGTGCACGGTTTTGTCTTACAACAGGAATTGGGGGAATGGTTACCACAGCGCCGTAAAATCCGCTTCCGAAATCAATGCATTAAGGATAAATCATGACAAAAGTAGTAAGACAAAAACAAAAAATCCACTAGTCTACCATTCGATCATGCTTAGAATATTACTGCCACATATGGTTCAGTGTACCTGCTATTTACCTTGAGGTCTTTGATAAAATTTTAAAGAAGGATCAGCAATATTATTGGTCCTGATCTGGCAGTTCGGCTTTAGTCACTTTCCACCGCTGTAATGGTGCCTTCCTTTGCATTTTCTATAAAAACTTTAATTGTAATTGTTCAGATGAACGCTTCGCTATGGTTGTTTTATCCCCCCACACAGACAATGAATTGTACCGACATTCATAGTGAAAAGAGAATGGAATGTCATCGTATGTTTTTGGGTGTGGCTCTAAGTTTTTTATAGAACCGTTCTTTTTTTTATTTTGGCTTTGTGCCATATTTTCTGTACATAACAGAAACAAATAAATTGTAAAATAATTGTCATATGGTGACTAGATATGGATTTCATAGAGACAATGAGGTATTTGGATATTAAAAAAGTAAAATGTATTGTTTTGGTTACAAAATGTTGTAGTATGTTTGGGTCAATGTTTGTGGCTAGCCTAAGTTTAAAAGTAAAGACAAAAAACCACCTTTTCCCCATTCTCCATTTTTGACCTTGTGCCACACTTTCTCTACATAGTAAAAAAATATCCCCTTCATTTCATTCCCCTAATTGTACATATGAGGGACTAGATATGAATTTCATAGGGACAACGCGGTATTATGGTGGGTGTAAAGAAAGGCAATGTGTTGTTTTGCGTTAGGAATATTAGGTATTTTTCGGTCAGTGTTTTGGCTAGCTAAGTTTATATTTAAGACAGAGAAGACCGTTCTTTTATTCCCCATTTTCTGTATTTGAAGCGGAAATAAATAAGTTGATAAACTGGCGTCGAGATCTCAACAGTGGACTGTTGGGCTGTCTAGATGTAGCCGTAAGTTCTATGCTATCAGTTTCTTTCTCACAAAAAAATGGCAATCCCTTCCGGTTCCATGCTTTGCCAATTTTAATCTGCAAAAAATAAAATCTCAATCCTTATCCTCTTGTCATTATTAATGTTTCTATTTACCATGGGATGATAAAGCGTAACAATCTGTTTTTCCCAGGCATCGTCGTCCGACTCAAATTTAGTTAAAACAGACAGCATTAACAGACTAACATACTATGCAGACTCTGTTACCAAAGCTATCAGTTCTTGGGAAAAAGCCGCCTGAGGGAACTTTATTTTTCTCACATTTAGTAAATGAAGGGATAAAATTAGCATGTCGTGACAAAAGATAAAAAAAAATCATCTAACATTTGCTATAATTGTGTCCCTTCAGGACTTTGGCGATCACATCTCACAATTATAATTACAATTTATAGTTCTTAATAACTTTCGACTTTTTTGCCATCTCTGCTCCGCTGTACATGCACTGAAGCTCGCAAGGTATTTGTTTGTCCCATCAAATACCAAGTTTGGATGTTTTAATGTTTGGGATTGTTAAACATTCATTTATGGTTCATTATATTCCCATTATATTTAAATAGAGAATTCTTCTCCTCAGCTATTTTTTAAGTAAGGTATAACTAAACCATTATTATTTAAAAATGGCAATTATTACGATTAAGTATCTTAATATTCTTTTATTTATATATACATAATATTCTAATGGACCATACATATTATATATATATTGTAATATTTTATTTTATTTTATATGTTTTATATATATTTTAATATATTATTTATTTTATATGTTTGATATGTATATTTTATATATTCTTTTATTTATATATATTTTGTATATATTTTAATATATTATTTTATTTATATATTTTTTATATATATATTTATATATTCTTTAATTTTATATATATTTTGTGTATGTTTTTTAATATATTCTTTTTATTCTATATATATTTTTATATATTTTAATATATTCTTTCATATTTTATATATATTGAACGTGAACTTTGGCTGATTACACTTATTAGAAATATTCACAAATTTTATAAGGTGATAATTTCGCTATGTTTGTAATATTCCTCCTATTTGATATATATATATATATATATATATATATATATATATATATATATATATATATATATATAAATTCTTCTTTGAAATCACCTCAAATTTTTAGAATGTATAGAAACAGATCAAGATTTTATATTTAATGTTTGTTTTCTGGTTGAGCCATGCCGTTGACTCCCAAAGGTCATTTGCATCTTTCAGTCACCCAAAACTGTACAGCGTGCCTTCAATGCAAAATTTGGAAAAACTTCCGCAACTGGCAAACAAATTTGGACTTGGTACCAAAAATTTAAGAGGAAGGCTACTTATGCGTGGCTAAAGGAATCAGGTAGATCATCATCAACAAGCGTGTTTGTGAGAATGTACCGACTTGACGTGTTTCACAGCTGGTGGAATTGAACCCTTTGTGTTATGTTTAAACTCTTCGATTTTTGCTAGACTTAGTAGTTTTCAAGATAATTTCTAAAAGTCAAAAGCCTGTATATTTAAATAAAATCTGAAAGACGCCATTGATTGATTTTCCCCATTCTCCTTGTAGGATATTTTGGTAAATATTTTAAATAGTCAGATTTTTGTTTGTTTGGGGCGTTAATAATGGTTAAGTGTTATTTTCTACAGAGAAGGCCAAAAACCTGTGCCACTCAGTGAGGATTGAATCTCAGTAGTAATTCTTCTATGGTCGGGATGATAATGCTTAAATTATACAAGTTTACTAATTAACCATATAGGTGGGAGAAGAGTTGATTCATGATGAATCAGAATTTGATAAACAAACAAGAAACAATGTGGTTATAAATAGGGGATCGATTCTATATTACAATCAATATGTAAATTGATCCCCCTGTTTGTAGGGGACTGTATATTCATATATGAGAATTTAAATAAATCTAAGTTTTTTTTTTAGATAATAGTTTAGTGATATGTGGTTGCCCATAGCTGGGGGAAGAGATTGATTCTTGCAAAGGACATTTAGTTAAGAATGTGTTGTTTTGTGTTAACAATCGAAGCCATTATCCATTACACCCCGCACATTGATAAGTGGTAAATTCGACGTTGCGGTCAGTGATTACGGGAATCGGCTAGATGTTGCCAACCATCGAGCCTACGAAAATTATACATGTCAATATAGTTTTTCATACTCGATTTTTTCTTTCATTAATTTTTCTTGTGTTCTTTTTTCTTTCCTGTCAAATCATTCTATCGTTCATTCATTCCTTTCTTCTTCTTTTCTTTACACTCTTTACTTTATTTGAACACTTCATTTTCTTTTTCTTTTCTCTCCTATTAAATTCATTTTCCGCGACTTTTTTCATTCCTTCTTAACATTTTTCTTTTTTATGTTTTCATCAGTCTTTCTTTCTTTCTTTCTTTCTTTCTTTCTTTCTTTCTTTCTTAGTTTTGTCTTTGTTCTTTTCACAATACTTACATTCGTATTTCTTTCTTTTTATTGTTAAGGGCTCCCTTCTTTACTAATTTTTCTTTTGGTCCATTTTTCCTTCCTTTCTTTCTTTCTTTCTTTCTTTCTTTCTTTCTTTTCACAATATTATAATCGCATTTCTTTCTTCATATTGTTAAAGGGATCCCGCTAATTTTTCGTTTGATCCTTTCTTTCTTTCTTTCTTTTTTCTTTTTTTTTTGTCTCTTACTCTTTTTCTTTTCTATCCTAGTTTTATTTCTTTCTATCGTTAACTTTTTTCTTTCTTTCTTTCTTTCTTTTTTTTCTTTCTTTTTTTTTCTTTTCTTATTGTCTCTTACTCTTTTCTTTTTCTATCCTAGACTTTATATTTCTTTCTATCGTTAACTTTTCTTTCTTTTCTTTCATTCTTTCTTTCATTCATTCTTTCTTTCTTTCTATTGTTTCTTCTATTTTTTAATGATTTTACTTCTCTGTTTGTTCATCATTCACGTTTCCTCCGCTTCCTTTTATTGTCAACCGTTCCTTTTCTTTCTTTCTTTCTTTATTTCTTTCTTTCTTTCTTTCTTTCTTTCTTTCTTTCTTTCTTTCATCCGGTTCTATTTTATTTATTTCTTTTTTTCTTTGTTCTTACTCTAATCTCTTTCATCATTTTTCTTTCTTTCTTTCTTTCTTTCTTTCTTTCTTTCTTTCTTTTCTTTTCTTTCTAGCTCACGTTTTTCCTTTCTTACCTTCTTTCTTTCTAGATTTCATTATTTCTTTCGTTTTTCTGTCTTTCTTTCTTTCTTTCTTTCTTTCTTTATTTCTTTTCTTTTTTGTCATTCTTTTTTTTCTTTTTTTTTTCTTTTATCGTTTTGTCCATTATTGGTTCCTTTCTGTCGTTTCTTCCGTTTTCTAGTTCTTTTACTTCTCTGCTTATGCGTCGTTCGCGTTCCGTTCACTTCCTTTTATTAACAATCGTTCTTTCTTTCTTTCTTTCTTTCTTTCTTTCTTTCATTCTATCTTTTTTCTTTCTTTCTTTCATTCTTTCTTTCTTTGTTTTTTCCTTGTGTCTTTCTTTCTTTTTTCTTTCTTTCTTTGTTTTCCTTCTGTCTGTCTTTCTTTCTTTCTTTCATTTATTCATTTTATTATTCTTTCTTTCTTTCTTTCTTTTTCCTTCTGTCTTCCTTTCTTTCTTTTCCCTTTACTTTTATCTCTTTCTCCCTATTTCTTTGACTTTCCTCTTTAATGAACACTTTTTTCCCCTTCACCAATACCCTTTTAGCAGCCTCTTTTTTTCTCGTCTCTGTCTATCACCAAATTTTCTCAACAATAGAATTATATCGCTTTACAAGCTTTCCCGCTTTCATAAAAACAACGCCGCTATTTATTGAGTCGTTGATACAAAGACCTTGCCAATCCAAAAAAAGAAATAAAACGCTCACTTAGCTTTATATAGCAATAAAGAATATTAGATTTTTTTCCCTGGGAGAAATCTGCAAATTCTATAAGTTTTGTGCCAAACTTCGTCCGTTTTAGAACAACGTTATATTTTGGTTATTTTACTAAAAACTAGTTTGGCCAATAAATCAAATTTTTTTCCTGGGTAAGAATTGGAAAATCGGGTTGTGGGTGGGTGGATAAGACAGGGGCTGGGTTGCTTACTCATAATCAGATTTATTCGCTATTTCAAACTGGGGAGAAGTAGGAGATTTTGTGACAACTAGACTGACTGCTAGGAAGAAAGGTTCTTTTCGATAATAAAAAAAAAAAAAGCAAAACATTCAGCCACCTCCGTGTAATTATTTCTTTTATCCTTTCACTCTTTCCAGATTTATTCTTTCTTTCTTTCTTTCTTTCTTTCTTTCTTTCTTTCTTTCTTTCTTTCCAGCCTTATACTTTCTTTCTTTCTTTCTTTCTTTCTTTCTTTCTTTCTTTCTTTCTTTCTTTCTTTCTTTCTTTCTTTCAGCCATTATACTTTCTTTCTTTCTTTCTTTCTTTCTTTCTTTCTTTCTTTCTTTCTTTCTTTCCAGCCTTATACTTTCTTTCTTTCTTTCTTTCTTTCTTTCTTTCTTTCTTTCTTTCTTTCTTTCTTTCTTTCTTTCCAGCCTTATACTTTCTTTCTTTCTTTCTTTCTTTCTTTCTTTCTTTCTTTCTTTCTTTCTTTCTTTCCAGCATTATACTTTCTTTCTTTCTTTCTTTCTTTCTTTCTTTCTTTCTTTCTTTCTTTCTTTCCAGCCTTATTCTTTTCTTTCTTTTCTTTCTTTCTTTCTTTCTTTTCTTTCTTTCTTTCTTTCTTTCTTTCCAGCTTTATACTTTCTTTCTTTTTCTTTTTTTTTTCTTTTTTTTTCTTTCTTTCTTTTCTTTCTTTCTTTTCTTTTTTTCAGCCTTTTCTTTCTTTCTTTCTTTCTTTTTTTTTTTCTTTCTTTCATTCTTTCTTTCTTTCGTTTAATTATTTTAATTCTTTCTTTTCCGAGAGGATAAAGGGACGTCTCTGCTAGCTTTACCGGAAACAGAACCAGTCAAATTCGGCTGAAGCAGTTTTTGTGTAAAGGCATGAACATCTTCATCCCTGTCTTCCGCCCTAAGAGTACTTTTTCTTACTAATTGTCACTGCAAATTGGACTTGGAGATTTAACACATTTTTTTTTTACAGAGGCAGCTGCAGAGGTAGTCATGTAAGACAGCGAGGCTGCAGCAACAGCAACATCAGCAGCGGAAGTGGCAATAAGAACATTGTATAGTTTACTATTTACATTATTCGGACTATTGTCCTCATCTATGTCGCCATATTTATTACAACGTTTCGACCTTTGTACGCTCCTGCCATCTTCAGTTGGCTGGAATGTCGAACTGAACCCTTTATTTCGCTCACTGGGTTAAACTGTTCTAGTTCCCCGTGCTATATTTAATGGATGTCATTTATCCCCTGTTAATTCACAATGAGTGTGAGTTCAATACCCGGTTAAGGCAGTGGAGAACTTGCAAAAGGGAATTAACAGGAGATAACAGATAACTGACATCCATTAAAAACATGGCACATGGAACTAGAGCAGTCTACCCCAGTTTTCATCCGATTACGAATGTCGAAACCTTACCAAAAAATGTCTCAACATTTCAGAAAATGAACAAATCTTAAGTAATTTATATATCTTAATTAAGAAAAACATTTAGTAAACGAATTACAACCTTAAAATCATTTTATCAATGAGATCTTGGGAAAAAGCTTTCGGGTGGGACATACAATTGGAAGTAATTTGTAACAAACCACGTGTATTCCTTCTGTATTCCATCGGTGAGTATAAGTTCCACTCGAACAGTTTCTTCGTACGAACCACTACCCAGTTGAACAACCTCCCAAGAAGATGTTTTCTCTGATCTCGCCAATCTTAACCTGTTGTTAATAAGGCAATTGTAAATAATTCGAATCCGTTGACGTACCTTGTTGTGTTCTGACCGTAAAAGACGTATCTTCTGGAACTAAAAACTGGAGTTCAGGTTAATATTTACGATGGCAATACCAAGAGAATGGTGATAGGCTTGCAATATAGTCTGTGAGTCGGGGAGAAAGTTTGAATATATCAAAAATCGCTTCATTTTTTTTTTCAAATAAAATTCACTAAGTAGATTTCCTAATATTCATTTATAGCTTTGTTTTACCCAAATTTTTAACATTTTTTTACCATTAGCAATTTCACCATTTACTATTTTAATATTTTTACCATTTTACCGTTCTGCTATTTTACCATTTTTATCATTTTACTATTTTTCTACCATGTTACCATTTTTCAGCATTTACCATTTTTATCATTTATCATTTTACCATTCACCATTTCACCATTTTTACTATTTACCATTTTGCACTTTTTAACATTTACCATTTTACATTTTTTATCATTATACTATTTTTAACAGTTACAATTTTACTAGTTTTTAACAATAAACATTTTAAATTTTTTTACAATTTTACCATTTACCATTTTACCATCTTTTAATAATTTGCCTTTTTACCGTTTGCCATTTTAAGATTCACCATTTTTCACCATTTACCATTTTCATGAATGACCATTTTATAATTTTTCTATTTTACCACATTACTATTTTTTACATTTAATATTTACCATTTTTCCAGTTTACCATTTTTCCCAATTTACAATTTTTTACCTTTTGTCATTTTAACATTTTTACTATTCACCATTTTACCATTAGTAACATTTTAATTTTTTACTCTCTATTATTTTTTACCATTTTGCCATTCTTACCATTTAACCATTATACCGTTTTTACAATTTAATCTTTTACCATTTATTATTTTTTAACATTTTACATTTCTCACCATTTATTATTTTTTAATATTTTTACCATTTACCATTTTACTATTTTTTTACCATTTTTACCATTTTTGGCCATATACCATTTTACCACTTTTTACCATTTTCGACAATTTACCATTTTATGATTTTTACAATTTTTTGCCATTTACCTTTTTAACATATTTTACCATTTTACTATTTTTGCTATTTACAATTTTACCGTATTTTACCATTTTGCTATTTTTACCATTTACCATATTTTACCATTTAGAATTTTACCACTTCTTCATTTTACCAATTTTATTATTTGCCATTTTAGCATATTTTACCATTTTCACTATTTCCACTTTACTACTTGTTATCATTTTACCACTTTTTAACATTTACCATTTTATTACCTTTTTAACATTTACCATTTTTTATCATTTTACCACTTACCATTTTACCATCTTTTACCATGTTATAGTTTTTACAATTTACCTTTTCACCAATTGCTCTTTTCCCAATTACAATTTTTTACCATTTATCAGGTTTTACTATTTAATATTTTACTAATTTATACCTATTTAACATTTTACAATTTACGAGTTTTTACCTTTTCCCGTTTTACTATTCTTATTATTTACCATTTTACAAGATTTTACCACTTATTATTTTTTTACCATTTTACCATTTCTTATCGATTCCATTTTGCCTTATAGCATTTATTAACATTTACCATTAAAATCGACCATGAACGATAATGACATGTTCATTAATAATTAATCATAACTAAGGATCAGGAAGCTCATTAAGGATTGAAACAATGTTATATATATATATATATATATATATATATATATATATATATATATATTAACATTTACCATTTTACTATTTTTTTTATAATTTTCCATTTCACCATCATTTACCATTTTATATTTTTACAATTTACAACATTGCCATTAGCCATTTTACCATTTACAATTTTTTAACATTCACCAGTATTTACCATTTAACATTTTACCATTTTTACCTATGTACGACAGAGGGTCTGACACAAAACGATTTTATCCTGTTCTCTTTCTAGCTGAATAAGTCAAAGGGATTTTTCAGTGATATTTACGAATGCTGAGGATGCCATGAACCAAATATGTGAGCAATGTCGAAGTTCTACAGAATTTGGAAATCAAAAGGGCACTTATACTCAAGACTATACAACTACTGCCTACATATAGCAGCAATACTCCTTTTTAGCTGAATAACTCAAAAATGAAAAATGGTGCCAAGAGAGAGTCTTATCTGAAAACCTGGAACAAAAAAGAAACTGAATTAGTTTAGTGTTATTAGATTTTTTATGTGATGGACATTATATATATATATATATATATATATATATATATATATATATATATATATATATATATATATATATGCGTATCTTTCTGGCTTATGTCAAGAAGCTTAAATGAATATTACATCGAGTCCGAGGAAGTTTCCATTACCGCCGGAATAGTGGAATTGACGAATTAGGGAGGTCTTGAGCAATGTTTTCTTGTCGGTAAGCCCACTTTAAAACTTAACCTTGTATTACATTCGTTACCGATGTGAGCGTACTGAAAGCTAATATATATATATATATATATATATGACAAAATATAGTTTTTATGCATGCTGTTTTTCTGTCTCAAAATGCTCAGTATCAGGGATAGAGTGTATGTAAATATAAACGTAGACATTGATGTCAACACCCAGAGGTGACAGTCTGATTCAGGCCTGCCGACTGTGTTTAGCATGAAACTGACTGTCGATTCTCGGTGTTGACGTTAATGTCTACTTTTGTATATATATATATATATATATATATATATATATATAGATAGATAGATAGATAGATAGATAGATAGATAGCAACATTGACATAAAAAATAGTAAATATAGACACAAAATAGTTAAGAAACTATAAAAATGGAAACAAATCCTTGCCTACATTAATAGAATAACCCCTACTACACCCACACTATGTGGCTTATCCAAAGCATAGTAAACAAACATAATCATCATTATCATTGTGTCAGTAATAAACAGGGTACCCGACAAATTATCTAAAACCATTGAAAATATCTTAACTCCGTTCCTAGCAGCCATCATCTAAACACATATTAAACATTCTACGTGACTTATATGAAACGTATTTATGGACAACATGTTTATGGCGGGCTTAGACGTCAAGTCTCTATACACCAAAATATCCGTCACAAAATGACTTATCGTATTGAGAAACTACCTCAAAAATGCAAAGAAAAGCTTCCTCTACCAGTTCACAAAATTATAAAAGTATACAAACTAATCCTCTTTCAACAATATTTTCTATAAGCAAAAAAATCGGCTTACTAATAGGTTCACTTATCAGTGGTGTTCTTCATTGGGTTTTTTTCTAGAATTTTTAAAATCATGTCCATTTGAAGACATCATACCAAAATAATCTGCTTACCAATGATATGTAGATATTTTTTTTATTATATCCTCAAGATATAAAGCTATTAGACATAATAATAAAACTCAATAAGGTTGAGCCTACCATTGAATTTACACACAAGTTTGAAATAAACAGTTCTCTACCTTTCTTCGACATATCATTAAAACAGAGCAATATGTAATTAGATTTTAAAGTTTATCTTAAACCTACTAACAAAAACGATCTAATTAACTTCAATTACCACCACCCACCTGCAAGACAATCGGAGACATAACTAGGAAGAAAAATAATCTCAACACCAATTCAAATAACGGGATTTATCAAATAATTTGTTTACAATGTAAAAATGTTTATGTGGGGAAGACAGGACGTTATCTAAAAACCGCATCTGCGAACACAAGAGAGATTTGCGTTTTGACAAACGATCTAACTCTCTCGTATTGCATCGAAACTGTGGCCGACATAACGGATTTCACTAATACCAACCTAATTAAAAAAAATACATAATTATTTAAGGAGAAAAACTTTGAAAAATTAATAATAATATTATTAACAACTCTAAACACAAGCCGAAAACTTATATTTTACTAATAATAAGAGTCCGTGGACAAAATAAGAGTGCCTTATGAAAGTGAAATGTCACCCCATTGAGCCAGATGACTGAACAAAAGTGAAGTCATT